GGAGAGTGGATGCTTTGGAGCTGTGGTGCTGGAGAAGGGTACTGAATGTACCATGGACTGCCAGGAAAACAAACAGATTCATGTTGGAGAGGATTAAACCAAGCTGCTCCTTGGAGGCAAGGATTCTGGGGCTCCGTCTAACATACTTTGGACTTGTTGCCAGGAGGGACGGGTCCTTGGAGAGGGACATCATGCTTGGGAGGGTGGAGGGACAGCGCAGGAGAGGAAGACCCTCGATGAGGTGGATTGATTCAGTGATTGGGGTTATGGGGATAGGTGTGTCAGATACAATAAGATTGGCAAGGAATAGAGCAGGGTTTTGGACTGTTTTACATAGGGTCACTATGAGTCGTCTTCAGGCGACTTGACAGCAGCATAACAACAATAACAACATTTGGGTTGCCAGCATACCTGCTTACCACTAGGCCACCAGAACTCAAATGATTGGAGTTTGACACACTAATTTAGAAGAAAATTGGTGAAGTTAGGGCATGCTCTTTTGATGTGTCATTGGAAGGACAATCCGTTCATCCTGTATTGGTCTTCAGTCAAGATGGTAGAGTTGACTATTTCTGATGCATTTGTAGAGCTTGTACTGTCTCTCAACTCTTATCCCCAAGTAATGGGTCAAGTTCTGGTCTTCAGGGGTGGGGTGATGAGGTGATGGGGTAGGAAGTTCTTCTCCACATTTGACCACCTCCCTCTTTCTCTTCATTTCCAGATACCACCCAGATGAACAACGCAGTGCCCACTTCTCCTCTGCTCCAGCAGATGGGCCATCCACACTCATACCCCAGCTTGGGCCAGATTTCCAACCCCTATGAACAGCAGCCTCCGGGCAAAGAACTCAACAAGTACGCCTCCTTAAAGGCAGTCGGTAAGGGATCCTGAATCTTTTCCTCTGTGTTTTTTCGCCCCCTCTCTCCTCTTTTGTGTTGTTTCCTCTAGGGCTTATTTTTTCTGACTTTTTTCTTCTGTCTCTCACTCTCCTTTTCCTTCTCTCGCCCTTCCTCCTCCTCGTACCCTCCTTCCTCCTGTCACCCTCCCTCCTCCTCTCGCCCTTCTTTCTGTACTTCTTTCCCTCTCTGTATCTATTTTTTCCTCTTTTGCACTCTTATCTTCTCTGTCCCTTTCTTTGTCTCTCTATACCTTTATCTGTGTTTCTCTGACTGGGATCTAGTCTACATAGGACCTGAGCTTTTTTGGGGGCTTTCTCAGATCCAGATCAAGACCTGCTTTTAATGTATGGGATAGAGCAGGTGGATTAAGGCCATGCAAGGATCTGTGTTCTAGGAAAAGGACTTGGATGCTCATTTTTGGCCCTGGTGACATCTCAGCCCATTGGTTCTCTTCAGGAAGAACCTAGACCTGGGATCCAGATGTCTCAGGAAAGCCATGCCTCTTATGGATGACATCCTCTAGTCCCTCCCACTGCTAAAAAATCAGCAAATCATACACACTTTCCCATTTCTTCCCTACTGCATCCCAGAAGTTTCATTGTTATTGCTGGTTGCATAAGAGAGTTTAAAACTAGGGTTTACTTAACATGTCTCTACTTTGAGCCTTCTGTACAGGGAGATGGTTTCAGATCCTGGCCCTGGTCCTCCTTATCTCTGTGACCTGGGGCAACACTTAATGCCTTTTTAATCCACACTCTCTTCACCTTTAAAATGGGTATAGAGGTTCCTGTGAGGCTGAGTACAGATGAACTATATTATTACATGGCATAAAAATGTACTGTCTACATACGTAGGTCCGCTCAGTTCTCCAGACTCACTCAACTAAGTTGCCAGTAGTTCCCTGGATGAGCCTTCCTGGATGTCCATCTCAGACTTAATGCACAGAGCTTCTTTCAGGAGTCTTCAAACACCCTGCCCCCTTCTCAAACACAAGGAGCTATGGTGGCCTAATGTGATAATGTGTTAGACTGATAACCCAAAAGGTCATGGTCAGAATCCACCAGCTCTTCCATGCAAGAAAGATGGGCATCTTTCCTGTAACGATTTACAGCCTCAAAAATCCAGGGGAGGGTCGCTTTGGGTTGGCATTAACTTGAGAGCAGTGAGTGTAAGTTTGAATTTCTCAAACACTAGGTTGCATAGTATAGTTACGTACTTGTCTGTTGAGCACACACACATACACAGCAGAGCCCTTATTATATCGATGTTATTCAGACACATGAGTTTGTAAACGTAAGACTTCACATACCAGTCACCCATGTTCTGTGCTGAATTCCCGTGCCTGGTCCAATGCTCATTCCCCACCGCTCCATGACAGAGTCCGTCCATTCTGTATTGTGTGTTTTTCATAGCACATACATCCCAAGTGTGTTCAAAAATAATGAACTACCACTAGGTGTGGGGGAAGACTGTTGGCATCCGCGAGCAAGAGTTAGGCATTTGCCCTGATATCTGCTCCTTTACAAGGAGGGAAAGATTGTAACTGTTCTAATGTCTTTGGGCATCAAAACTCGACTCAGATACCTTTTGTTTCTCAATAAATCAATCACACTATAAGACGCAGCTCCTTCCTCCAACTTCGACTCAGTGTCCCCTCTAAACACACAGGCACTTTCATATAAGTTATAGACAGATAGATATTCCAACAGAGGTAGATATTCCACGTTCTCTGAAGGATCTGAGAAGCTGCATCCCTCAGCAGATGTCTGCAGTGGACATGGAATTCAAGTTGCCTCGTGAAAGTGCATTCGACACGCTGGGAGCAACTCTGTCTTCCACCAACTGGGGACTTCAGACGTGTTTGCTGAGTGAAGGGATGAGCTTGCCTTCAACAAGAATCAGAAACCAGTGTGTCTGTATGGAGTGTGGTGGCACAGTGGTTACACTTTAGCAGCTTCCAACGGTAGGGAGCCCTAATGATGCCGTCCATTCAGAGTTGTGCTGGAACCCCAAAAGCTGCACTTCTCTGGTGGTTCAAGATTGATGAGATGGAGGAAGAATTAATGGAAAGATTGGTGGTTTGAGCCTCCCCAGTGACCACGCCAGGGACAAGACCTGGTGTTCTGTTCCCATAAAGACTGCTCTCATCAATAAGGCAGCAGCTCCACTGTATCTTCTAGAACCTTGGAGAATCTTCTCCCATCTGGACATGATTGGCACGCCCTTCTTCTCCTTCCTGCCCTCTCTTGTGGGGAGTTCACGGGCTTTATCTGAGTCACAGATGGCCAGTCCCGTCTCCAGAGAGTGGAGGGTCAGTTAGAAGAGAAGCAAACTACGGGCCTGCCTGACCCAACAGTTTGCCCGAGAGTCCGGCATCTGTCTGCACAAATGAAATGCAAATCCCATAATAAATGTTCTTTCAAGGGTTCTTTATTAAGGCATAATGTGATCACGGTGTGAATGATGAAATGCATGCCATTAATGAAATCATTACCACCCAGGAGAAAAGTTGCTTTAAAAAATGGTTTGCTTTTAAAAGCACCACAACTGCTGATAAACCAGATTCATTTTCTCAAAGTCCAGCCCAGTGAATTGAGGGAGCGCCGGGCAGCTGTTAGGGTCAACTACCAAGTTCAAGAACACCTCTGAGAAATAAATTCCTCTTAAAATTTTCCCCAAAATAAACTCAGTGCTGCCAAGTTGGTTCTCAGAGTCAGCTTGTAGGACACAGTAGAACTATCCAGAAGGTTTCAGAGGCTGTAAGTCTTTAAAATGGAAACAGATTGACACATCTTTCCCTTATTAAGCAGCTGCTAGGTTTGAAATGCTGACCTTTGGCTTGGCAGCGAAGCACTTAACCATTCTGCCATTGTTTATTCTTTTTTTTCCTTCAGTCTACCATTTTTGTTTTTATTGTGTGCTGTTGAGTCAGAACCGACCCATAAAAACTCCAGTGAGGTTTTAGAGGCAGTACATCACACAGGAAGATACTGTTCATCCTTCTCCCGTGGAGCAGCTGGTGGTTTCAAACTGTGCACCTTTGGGATTGCCTCGTAGCTTCTTATCACTCTCCTTAAATCCATCTTGGGCTTCAACCTTGAAAACACTGGCTGAGTGGCCAGAGGCTCAGTCGCCACCAGCCTCTAACCTTAGTGACTGTCTGACTTGGAGGTGGTCACTGTGGCTCTCTCATCCTCACTCAGTTTCCTCAGGAGACAAGGAACAAGTCCAGCCTGATGGTGTCTGACCACTATTCTAATTTGAACACAAGGAAAGAAAGTGGTTCCACTCATTCCAGTTCCCGTTCTTACACTGCGCGGCAAAATCAGGAAGTGCAACGCTGTGGGGCGAATGGGTGATAACCATTGAGTATTCTCAAAAATACTCTCAAGTGTTCTCAACAACATTTCTGCCCAAACCTGCCTTCCTTCTATTTTATTGTCCTTTGTTGAAATCTTTCTCCTTTATGTTTACCAGGAGCTCCTTTATCTCCGTAATTCAGGCATGTGACAGTGTCACATCTGGTCATCTAAAGCAGGTGTTCCCCAAGGGTATACCGCCCAGCTGTTTCTAAAGGATAAGCACTCTTTAGGGAAATGTCAGGGACGAAGCCACATACCCTCTCAACCAGGAGGCGTGAGGGGCTGGATTATCATTTACTCATCCATTCTGTCATTCATTGATTCACTCTCCAAACATTCTGTCTAGTGCCCCTTAGTGATATATCCCGCCTGGGAATGGACCACATCTTTCCTTTTCATCAGTGTGTCCACAGCACCGAACAAGGTACACGCTTAGTATGTACTCCTCACGTATACGTGTCTCTCTAGTGAATTTCACCATCCTCTCATGGGAGGTGATCAGCAAGACGGCAGAATCTAGCATCTCTCTCTTGTGCCCTGAATGTGAGAGGTGAGTGGTGCTACTAGATAGGTTCCTTACCTGCCACTGCAGGACAGAGGGTGTGAACATACCTCACGGGCTTACCTGATGACTGGGAAAGGGATGAATGGTTTCTCCCTCCAGGAAAAAAAAAAAAAGACCATCACTCTTTTCTCTCGGGCAGGGGAGCATGGCAAGTGGAAATGGCCTGCTCCTTAGCATTGATGCCCTCTGGGCCGTGGCCAGCTTCCTCTCTAGTGTCTGAGAGTTCAATTCCTCAGGCCTCCTGGAACCCCAGACTGTGTCCCTTTTGGACAGGTCTTTGTAGCGCTAGGCACCCACTGATAAGCAGAAGATACCCTCATCACCTGCAGCGTGCAGTGTGCTTTACAAAATGCCATTGTTTTAAATGGAAAGATATTAATAAGAAAACGTTTTCTCTTGCTGCTAAATTACAGCCTCTAAAAGAGGCTGGAGGATCACCTATGAGTGAGTTTTGACACCATGGCAATGAGTTGTGCTTTGAGTTTGAATTTGCCAGGATCAAGTTCCTAACAGCACTTTGGAAAACCACAGAAGCCCCATACATCCACATAGCATGAATTCCCCCTTCACTGTTGCTGCAAAGAAAGCATGTTTGCAAAACCATATACAATGTATTAGAAGATTCACTATGGATGGGCGAGTTTAAGGAAAGGGAGCTAGATAAGGAGCTTAATATGACTCATAATAATAAATATGAAAGCTCATACTGTAAATCTTTACAGAAAGGAACTGCCCCTCTCTTCCCAGCAGGGCACCAGGTGGATTCACACCACCAGCCTTTCAGCTGGCAGCCCCGCATTTACAGCACTGCGCCACCAGGGCTTCTTGTCATTAGCCTTGTCATTTGTGAAACGGAGTCTTCTCCTTTGCTTTGTCTTAGCTGAGCTCTGGTAGCCTAGTGGTCAGGCGTTGTGCTGCCAGCCCAAAATCTCGTGGTTCAGATCCAAGAACTGCTCCATGGGAGAGACAGAATCCATCTCAACCAAGTGTGATTTACAGACTCTAAAAACCCACTGGAGGGTCAGCTATGAGTCAGTTCTCTCTCCATGCCAGTGAGTTGTTGTATGAGGACAGAGGTGTCAAAAATGTGGTCCTGCCTTTAACGCACAGTGACTTGGTGCCTGATGGCTTCCCTAGGGTCAGCCATGTCCCCATGCTCCTGTCCACCCCTGCAGGAAGTTTTGGGGCAGCCTCACTATTTCTAGATGCCACTGACCCTACCTCAGAGAAAGGTGACTCAAACATCGTGTCTTCCTAGTTCGATGTGGCGAGGAGATGGCCACACTTAATTATCTTGGTCCCATTTTACCAGTCACTCCAGTTTCTCCTCCCCTGGCAGTGAAAAGGAGTTGCATTTCAGCCCCGCAGGGGGAAGGTGCCAATTTGAGTGCCCTTTGGCACGCCCGGAAGGCCGCTCAGAAATGCTTCGAAGGGGCCGGATCTGTGCTCTGTAATCATTCTGATCACAGCCTGTTCCCCGTGTCTCCTGTCAGCTGGCAGCCTGATGTGTGTGGAAATGATGCAGAAATGTGGAGGACTGAGCGAGTCTTTCCAGGTAGATTCCTAAGAAAGGAAAAGAGAGTTAGTAGCACAAGCTGATTGGCTAGCCTTTCAGCCAATGGGCAGAGACACAGTCTGGTTTGCCTCACTTTATGTAAAACCCACTCTTACAGAGGGTGCGTTCAAGGGAAGGGGTGATATGTGCCCCGGGGCCAACTTTACCATCTTTCACTTTATGAAAGGTATCATATTAGGATTCCACCTCCAGCCAATGGGCAGAGACACAGACTGGTTTGCCTCACTTTAGATAAAACCCACTCTCACAGAGCATCTTTCAAGGAAGAGATGGTCTGCGTCCAGGGACCAACCTTAATATGAAAGGTATCATTTTAGGATTCTGCTAGTGGCTTAGTGGTGAGAAGCTGCACTGCAGTCCCAGGCGGTTCAGCAGGAGAAAGATGTCCTCCCACACAATTGATTTCCTCCAACAACCCACTGGAGGGTCAGCTATAGGTCGATTCCTTACTGGAGGGCCAACAACAACTAATAAGATGCAGGGCTCATTCTCTACAGCTGACATTGACTTCAACTGGAGAAACTGATTTATTGCTCAATGTCAAGTGCATACCTGTTCCATAAAGTTACACGTTACTCATGATGAGATAATGAGCTTTACCCCTCTCAGTGTTTAGGGAAATTTCTGCAGCTTGGCCCAGCTGGCACAAGCACTCCGCTGTTAACTGAAAGGTCAGCTATAGGAGCCTACCAGCTCTCCATGGGAGGAAGTTGTCGTTCTGCTTCTGAAAAGATCACAGCCATGGGAACCCAGTGGGCAGTTCTTCCCAGCCCAGTAGGTCAGTATGAGTGAGTTGGAATTGACTCAGAGGCACTGGGTTTACTGCAGAAATCTAAAGATCAGGTCCACAAGGACAACTTTAGAAGGCCTGGCTATCAATTTCAAAAAGTCAGCTGTCAAGAACCCGAACAGGCATAGTTCTTCTGACGTAAAGGGGATCCCCATCAGTTACAGTTAGTTTTATGACCGGTAGTTTAGAAAGCGTAATTATATGGCGAAAAATGGGATTCATCCAGTCCATCAACAAGAATTTTTTTTTTCTGTTACCTTTTATCAGTTCTACTTGCTTTTCTTTCAATCTACCATGTGCATTTTGGTTTTGTACCATTAGTTACAATTGATCAGTGCCATTTATTACAACATCACATGCTCACTATACCTTGCCTTTCCCTCCCCCTCCCCATCCATCTGCTCCCCTCTCCCTCTCTTCTTATCCGGGTGAATCCTCCATTGCTGTGTGTAAAATTTTCCTTAGCCTTTCCCCCCTTCTCAGTCAGTCATACATCTGCTGTTCCATATCGTTAATGAGAATATGCACAATGTGTGACTGTGCGTTCATTTCACATTGGCCTTCCCTTCGTCTATACCAGTTGAAAGTGCTCATTATCAGTCAATTCGTTTTCTTCTCCCCTTACCCCTAAACCATACTGTTTTTTTAATAACAGTGTGACTGGGTTATTTCACTTAGCATAATGTCTTCTAGACTTATCTGTGTTGCATAATATTTCACAAGTTCTTGATTGTTCTTCAGTGTTGCATAGTACTCCATTATAGGAATATACCACAGTATCTCTGTCCATTTGTTCAATAATGTTAAAATACATACCCTGCACTTGGCAAGGACTAGGGCAAGCCCTGCTCTATGGGAAGGACTTGCTCCCCAGCATTTAAACTTGCAGTCAGCAGTGGTCTGCCTCAGGCTGATAATGTGCCCCTTCTCGGGGAGAGGTATCCAACAAAACATGATCAAAACAGCTCAGGACAGCAGAAGGTTGCCACTATCCAAGATATCACATAACTCAATTAGTTCTTTATTAGAGGTCTGGAAACTGAAAGAGTGAACACATTCTCACTGCTATTGAGTTGATCCCAACTCAGAACAATCCTTTCCAACAGAGTAGAGATGCCCCATAGAGTTTTCTAAGCTGTAATCATTATGGAAGCAGGTCACCAGATCTTTTCTTCCTAAGAGCAGCTGATAGATTTGAACTGCTGAGCTCTGACATAGCAGCCAAACTTTAAACAACAGTGCCACCAAACTCAACTTATTGCTGTTAAGTTGGATCTGACTCCTAGCTGATTCTCCAGTGGGTTTTCAGAGGCTGTAAATCACACAGGAGGAGATTGCCCATCTTTCTCCCACAGAGCAGTTTTGGATTTGAACTACATGCCTTTGGCTTGGTATCACAGCTCCTTACCCAGCATGTACTTAGGTCACCAGGACTCCTTAAAGTAAGATTTGCTGCCTAAGAATTCTGTACCTGGTTCAGGTAGCTGAAAATATCTAAGAGGCTCGTTTGATCTTTGCCTGGACACAGCTTCCAAACCTTGCCAAAGGAGGTGGACACCTAGTTGGGGTATTTGCACACTTGATTCCTTCTGCCTGGTCCCTGATTCCCAACCCTTTTGGTGGTTGTAGCTGGGGCAGCAACACGGGCATGAGGGCACGTGAACAGAGGATCAGTCACAGATCAGCATCTCTTGGTTGCTTTTTTTAGGAAGTTGTGATGGTGACTGGACGGTGGCGACACTTAAGTCACCCAAAGGTACCGTATGACGTTTCCTGGTGGTTCTGTCCAGGTGTTGTGAGGTTTCAAGTCAGTCGAGACACAAACGTCCCGGTGTTGGTGCGTGATCCAGTGCACACGTGTGTCCCTGTTTGATGGCACGTGCAAGTTCGTCCCAGTTCAAGCGTGTAGGTGTCGTGTGGTGGGTGTGTGTGCATGTGGGTTGTCCATGCTCGGGGCTCTTGTTGGCGAAAGTTCTGCCCCTCCTGTCCCGGTACCCACCACCTAAACAACCACTAAAGGAATCCTTGCCAGGTAAGAGACTCAGGAAATGTCCGCTTTCTGCTGAAAATCAGAAGGTAAAATGGAAAAACTGGATGTAAATTCATGTAGAAGAAAGAACCCAGCTCCTGAGGGAGAGAGAAACAATTGTTTTATCTGGTGACTGGGGATGATAACTCATTTTGGGAGTAGAATGCTTTTTTTTTTTTTTTTGGCTTTCCTGCAGGCAAGAGTTGTGGAGTTGGACAGCTGGGGTCTAAGGATGGTGGTTGTTGTCAAGTGCCATCAAGTTAAGCACGCCTCATAGAGACCCTGTGAACAACAGACCTGAGCCCTGTTCTATCCTGCACCATCCTCACACTTCCTGACACACTAGAGCCCACTGCGGCAGTCACCATGTCAATCCACCTGGTTAACACCTGGTCTTCTTCTCCCTTGACCCTCCATGCTTGCAAGCATCATGTCCCTCTCCAAGGAACAGCCCCTCCTAGCAACTTGCCTGAAGTATGGTACCCTAGTATATTCTCGCCTCACACCACTCCTGGCCACTCCTCCACGTCCATCAGTGGAGACCTGTGTGTTGACGAACAGGTTTCAGTGGAACTTCCAGACTGCAGTCGTTGGGTACCATCAAGTCAGCTTGAACTCCCGGATGACAGACCTAACCTCTTCCGGGTCCTGCGCCATCCGCACAGTCACTGCTGTACCTAAGCCCAGCGTTGCTGTCACTGCGTGAATGCATTTCACTGAGTCTTTCTTTAACTGGCCTTCACTTTTCCAGGTATATGGTGCCATCCTCCAGGACCTAGGATCTCGTGATTATCTTGCTCACAGTATAGGAGACAAAGTCCTTTCATCCACATCTTTGAGGAGCACCTTTGTTGCATACTTTCTAAGACAGATTTGTTATTTTGGCAGTCTGGAGTGTAGTCAGTATTCTCTACTAACAGATGAAGATGGACTAAAATAAAAGTGGCCCGAGCTGGAACCAGTCATGGGGCAGCATTTTGTTTGGTTGTGCACAGGGTTACCTAAACGGGAGCCAGCTTGATGGCCCCTAATAGCAGCAGTGCCAACAACAATAGGATGCAACAAACAACGTGTTTAAACTTTGTAAATAAATCAGTATAAAATTTAAAATAAAAAAAAAGTTTAGGACCAGCCATTTTACATTTGTTTTATCATATGAGTCTGAGAACCTTCCTTGTACCTGTGCACAGGTCGTTGCCATTTAACAACAATCAAATCCACTGCTTGTGAGTTGGTTCAGTTTCCTAGCAACCGTCCACTGTCTTTCTGAGTCTGTAAGTCCTTGGTGGAAAGAGACTGCCCTTCTCTCTCCTCCAGGGTGGATTTGAACTTTTCATTTCACAGCTTGACATGTTATGCACTAGACCAACAGGGCTCCTCCATTTCCATTTGGGGAGAAAGCAGTGGTTTGAATTGGTGTTAATCTGACATGCAATACCTGCATTACATCTCCTGAAGGATGATGGAATCAGAGCTGGACCCTGGTTCTGTTCTTTCCTTCCTTCTCATCCTCCACTGGATGTGGTGGGGGCCAGACACAGCTGGTCCAAGGAATTGGGAGCAGAGCTCTTAAAGGACCGTGAGATGTAGGAGGTTCAGAGACCATGCCCAGTTCAAGACCAAGTTCTGGCGACGCTCTTTTTCTGGCCTCCAAGTAAAGATTGGAATTAAGGAGCCTTGGTGGTGCAGTGGTTTAGTGCACTGCTGCTAATTGAAAGGTGAACTCGCTAGCCATTCTGCAAGAAGGAAGAATGTAGCATTTTACTTCGTTAAAGATTAAAGCCTTGAAAACCCTAAAGGGAAACTTTGCTCTGTCCTGCAGGGTAATTGGGTCAGAACTGACTTGATGGCGCTGGGTTTGGATTGGAGCTGGGACCCTTGAGAGACTCTTTAGTTTTCTTGGATGATTACCTGAACTAGAGGAGGACAGAGGGTGGAGAGAAGAGAGTGGAGTGGGCGGATGAGTGAATGAATGAGTGAATGAGAGGACGGGGTGGGAGCTGGAGACCAGTGGTTCTTCTCTCTGATCTATCTGGGATGCATTATCAGCCTCTACGGGAGGACTAGGTCAAGTTCAGGTGACTGCTTTGACTGGCCTTCTGATTCGAAGAGTCCAGAGTAGGACCTGAGAGTTTGTGCACGTCGCAGTTTCCCCATTGATGTTCACATTGCTGGGTTTTTTTGGTTTTTTGTTTTTGTTTTTTTAATTTTATTAGTATTAGTGAACATTTACAGGGATTTTGGGTTTTCATTCCTTCATTGCTGTACCATTCTCTCTACCCTCTT